GAGAGAGAGAAAATATAAACAGGATATACCAGTTCTGCGCGCTCCACATTCTCGATATGTGTCACGATTGGAAATTACCATCATCATTAAATCGGAAAAGTTTCACGGGATAAAAATCGGATAGAATTTTTTCACCGTTTCCGATACATTTCTACCAACAGGTTTTACATCCAGTTTCGATCCATGTTTAATCGAAAACATGGGAGCATTGGGGGAGATGGATCGATCGTGTTGTTGTTGTCTTCCCTTCTTCTTCCGTGGGATGCGGTTGAAATTGCAGCGGTCAGTGTTTCCCCCGCTTGGCAAAATGTAGCGGAGGCTTCATCGAAAATCGAGGCAATCATGCGGATGCAGAAGCCGGAACGCGGGATCAGAACCGCGGACGCCTAATCAGCCGATTGCGCCCAAGGAAATACCCCGGCTCCCATGGAATGTTAATGCGATCTACGCCGACGATCCTTAGGAAACCGCAAGGGCTCCCCTTCGAGGGTGAGGGGGAAGGGGGGAAAGGAGGCGAAAGCGGCCAAGACGACCCACTTCGGGCCCTCCCCACGCACGTATCGTTGCGCAATAACCACCGTTCCGCTTCTGCCGTTCCCTCGATTATCCGCAACCACCGGCCGCGCAACGCTCCTCCTCGTGGCTCGAGGATGCCTCCCTTCTCCGAACCAGACCTTCTCGCCCCCTCCTCCGCTTATCCCTTCCGCGTTTCTTTAGATTTGCTCGCGCCGCGACTTCTTCCAAACAGCAGAAAATGAATTCGAAATCTCTTGCCGATCGAATTTTATTTCTGTTTTTCTTTAGACTCGACACGGAATATAATTATAATAGTTTCGACTGTGACAACGTAAAGGTTTTAAATAAGAGTAATTTCAATTCCCAGGCAATGATAAAAGAAGCGTGACGAAAGGTTGGAGGAAGAATCCTCGAGAAAACGTTCGAATAAAAATACATTTTCCAGAGAGAGAGAGAGAGAGAGAGAGAGAGAGAGCAATGGGATTCGATACACGCAAGTGAATAAACCGGAATTCCCGAATAATCGAGGCGGGGGAGGAGGGGAGGAACGATCCACGTACGATGGATCTTCAATCTTGGAACTTGGTTCGTTCTTCGAGGGGAATCGAATCCCTCTGCTCCTCTTCCTCTTTCTTTCTCTCTCTCTCTCTCTCTTTCGCGCGGATACGGATGCATAGCCATGCCACTTTTGATACGGTTCCGCCTGGGCAAGGACCTCTCGACCCTGCCTTGGCTGCTGGAGAGGGGGGACCCTGGGGGTCGTCGTGATGCGACCAGCTGGCAGAAACCTTTTCCCTCTTAGCTGGCTTTCAAGGTGTGCACGTGCACGTTTGCAACGTGCTCACGAATGCGAAGCTTGACGCGTGATATCGCATAAACGCGCCGCGTTCCTATCGAAATCGGAAGAATTCTCTCTCTCTCTCTCTCTCTCTCTCGATCTGTCCTCTTCCGCGTGCTTACCAGACATCGGCGTTTCAACCGGCTAATGGATTGAAATTCCCTTCGATCGATGTCTTTCTCCGTCGTGTTTGGTAATTACCAGGGGGGGGAAATAGGAGACGTGTAGAAGATATTTCGTGAAACTTGGTGTGTTTGTTGATATTCTATAATGAGCGAGCGACTCGTGGGGAAAATATAAATATAAGTGTGTTTTTGTTATGGTCGGTGTATGACGAAACGGATCCACTGAATAAATATCGATGTTTACACAGGTATAGGTTTATCGAAGGGAATAAAGTTTGGAATCAAAGTGTTCGATTCGATTTCAATTCGGTTACATTAAGAGATATTATTAATTAATTAAAGTATTGAATTATTTATTTTTAAATTTTGATCGAATTATTCGTTTCTGAATAAATTGGAGGAAGAGTCGAAATGGATCGTTACACCATTATATATATTTTCGAATCATACTTATATTCAATATAAATATAAATGTGTTTTTACGTAAAATGAATCATTAATCTTGATGATGTATTGTACAGGTTTAGAGAATAAAGTTTGGAATCAAAGTTTGATTCGGTTTCAATTCGGTACATTAAGAGATATTATTAATTAAAGTATTGAATTATTTATTTTTAATTATTTATTTTGAATTACTCGTTTTTGAATAAATTGGAGGAAGAGTCGAAGTATAAATGCATCTTTTTTTTTTTTTATTATGTTTCATAAAATGAATCGTTAATCTCGATAACGCATTGTACAGGTTTAGAGAATAAAGTTTGGAATCAAAGTTTCAATTAAGAGATATTATTAATGAACTAAAAATATTGAATTACTTATTTTTAAATTTTGATCGAATCACTCGTTTCTGAATAAACTGGAGGAAGAATCGAAATGGACCATTATATATATATTTTCGAATTTCAATAGTAGAGTATAAATGCGTCTTTACCTTTCATAAAATGAATCGTTAAACCTCGAGGCGACACCGCCTCGTTATCTGTCACGATTACGACGCGGTTATTTATTAATTAACCTTTATAAACGCGAGTGTTTGTCACGAGGCTGCTACCGGTTCATTTGAGTGTCGTGATGTGGGATACTTTGCGCTTTATTTATTGCACGGCGTACACTGAATCGTCTAGCATGTTTTTTTTTAGAATATTTCTCTTCCGTGTCGAGTTGGAATGATAAACATTTTTAACGCCATGCTTTTTAAACGGTGATCTCTATTTAAGGGAAATTATTTTAAATCGTCGTTTAGAAAAAAAAAAAAAAAAAAAAAAAAGAGAAAAACTCTTCATTTAATACTTCTGTTCTTGAAATTATCCTTATTTAATAAATCACGAGTCATGTCACGAATAATATTCGAAACCTTGATTTTATTCGTGAAAGAAGAGGCTGTTCGAGGAAGAACTATCATCACGGTTGAATTATCGATAACGCATCGTTGTTTGAAGTAACTAAACTTCAAAAATTCTGACTCTTTGTCTTCAAATATTTACGCCAGGAGAAAGGGAACGATTCGAAAAAGGGAATCAAAGATGCGATCGTTTTTCGTCAAAGAAAATTTGCATGCTTTCACGAGTTGAAAAATCCGATTAGTAAAATGAGTCGATAGTGTATAATTGAAACGCTAGGATATTCTCTTTGTCTCGTCGTTCGATCCATTTTCTTGGTTTATATATTTTTATCTTCGTTTAAGTTTGCACGCGTTGCAAATTTTTGATTAAAAAAATGCGTGTACAAATCCCTTTGTGCCCTAAGTGTGAAAATTTCAACGCGAATGAATGGATAAACGGGCCGATAAAGCGATCAACTATAGAGGGTATATAGTGGTATAAAAATTGGCACGATTAAAAAAAAGAAGACGAGTCTTTCTATATATAGAGAAGAGTTGTTATTTGTGGAAAACTACTGCTTTTCGAAATAAAAACTTTAAACGATAATTTTTCGTACGCCGATTATGAATTATTCTTTCTCGATGTGGAAAATTTAAATAAAATATAATATGGTAAATATTACGAATATATACGTAAAATTTAGCGAAATCGTAAAATCCTTAAACGAGAATTCTAATAATATAGGAACGTATATCGTTCGTAATGGTATGGAGATAAAACGATCTTCAAAATTATGAATTCTTATCTGAATGCAAAGGTGCCTGATTTACCTCTATTCGGCGTACACATCTCTCTCTCTCCTGTACCATCCCCTTTCGGTTAAAATTCCCTCTTCTCTATTGAAATATTTTTATTATTTAATTCTCAAGTAAAAATTCTACTTACTTTCTAGGAATTTAAAAAACGATAAAAATTTAGAGTTCTTCTGAATTTTCAAGCGACACATTCTTTCATAATCCGTTATGATTATCATCCACGCAATGTTCAATGATTTCCATTAAAGCCACAAAAATAAAAAGAAGGAACGCTTAGAAGGAACGCTTTTTTTTCTTTTTTTGCTCACATTTATAATAACATTCGCAATAAAATCGATAAGATACTAGCAACCAGTCTCTAAATAATAAAAACTAAATAATAAATACGATATATCCTAACCTCTATTCTCAAATGAATGCGGAAGAAAAGTCGATCCCGTTCGCGCAACGATCTCGCAAATTGGAATAACTTTCCAAGGAATTTTCCCTCATCGATATAATTTCAATTGTGATACTCGATCCTCGATACTCGGCATTCGTTTCTATTTTTCCTCTCTCTCTCTCTCTCTCTCTCTCTCTCTCTTTCTCTCTCTCTTTCCACAGAGGCGCAGTGACGCGGGCATAATTAGTCTGGCCACGATCAAAAGCGTTCCTCTAATGCCTTCGAAACGTCGAGCGCGGAACGAGCGACGTGAAAAACACTCGATCGAGCGTTCATGGAAAGAGAGAAAAAAAAAAAAAAAAAAAAAAAAAAAAAAAAAANAAAAAAAAAAAAAAAAAAAAAGGGGGAAAAAATATTTTAAATAAAATAACGTAGCTAGCAAGAGAAAAGTCCCGTAAATAGCCCCAACGGTCGATCGAAATCTCTGGCCGGGCCTCTATTATTCCTCTTTCAACTTTTCCACAAGGATAGCCCGACTCTCTCTCTCTCTCTCTCTTCCCTCTCCCCTCGCACGAAACATCGGCCTCTTCATGACCAAGAAACACTCGAGACTCTGTAGGAGCGTGATGTAACCGTCCTCCTCCCCCCTCCTCTCAAGTTCGAGGAACCCAATAACTGGAAAACGCAGCGGAGCGTGTAGCCTTCGATTCTCGGAGAGGACGACGAGGACGAAAAGGAGAAGAGGAGAGAGAGAGAGAGAGAGAGAGAGAGAGAAAGATTGTGTCGATTCGCGTCGAATCTCGAGTGCGTCCACCCCCCCCCCTGCCTCCTTTTCTCCTCGGGCGGATATCGTGCCCGGCCGCGGCCAAGGGGAAAAAGGAACCAGGTCGGCGGAAAACGAGCGTCTCCTTCCCCTCCTCCTCCTCCTCTCCCCTTATCCGCCGCGTTGAATAGGATTCGCGACGCGGCAAACGGAAAAATAACCATTGCTTTCATACTCACCGGCATAGGAAGTCTCTCTCGCCTAAACAGAGCTCGAGACAGTGTTGTCGCGAGGAGGCGTTCATGGTTCTACGTGTGTGGCCCTGAAGACGATGCCCCTGGACCCTGTCGATGCACCAGGCGCGTTCGCACGGTTTCACAGCCAGGCAGCTCTTCTGGGCGTAAATCGTGAACACCGGGAATTGGGATTGCGAGAGGGCACCTGGAAACAAACGACGGATAAAGTCGAATCCGGATGCTTTCGCGTTTGCATGCTCGCATACTATCTTAATCGTATATTGGATTTTAAGAAAAATTTATATAATTCATATATAGTTTACGTTATTAAGGCTCGATTGGAAATTAAAAATTTGTATAATTGATAATTGAGTAGTATACAGAATACTAAAAGGAAAAAAAATATCTTTATAGTCACAAAAATTCGATTTCAATGTAGTATAATGCAATTCTAATTTTGTCTTAAGTTAAGGAAGAAATAAAAATATCTTAAGAATCTACTGATATCTATTTCATTTTAAAATATGATTGAAATGATTCGAATGTGAAAAGAATACTAAAAAAAAAAAAAANAAGAAAAATTATTTTTTCTCTCTAAAAGGAAAAAAATATCTCTATAGTCACAAAAATTCCATTTCAATATAGTATAATGCAATTTTAATTTTGTCTTAAGTTAAGGAAGGAATAAAAATATTTTAAGAATCTACTGGTATCTATTTCATTTTAAAATATGATTGAAATGATTCGAATGTGAAAAGAATACTAAAAAAAAAAAAACGGAAGAAAAATTACTTTCGCCTTTTCTCTCTAAAAGAAAAAAAATATCTCTAGTCACAAAAATTCGATTTCAATATAATATAATGCAATTCTAATTTTGTCTTAAGTTAAGGAAGGAATAAAAATATCTTAAGAATCTACTGATATCTATTTCATTTTAAAATATGATTGAAATGATTCGAATGTGAAAAGAATACTAAAAAAAAAAAAAAAAAAACGGAAGAAAAATTATTTTTTCTCTCTAAAAGGAAAAAAATATCTCTATAGTCACAAAAATTCCATTTCAATATAGTATAATGCAATTCTAATTTTGTCTTAAGTTAAGGAAGGAATCAAAATATCTTAAGAATCTACTGGTATCTATTTCATTTTAAAATATGATTGAAATGATTCGAATGTGAAAAGAATACTAAAAAAAAAAAAAAAAAAAAAAAACGGAAGAAAAATTACTTTCGCCTTTTCTCTCTCTCTCACTCACTCACTCACTCTCTCTTCTTATCCCCTAAAACTCATAAATCCCACAGAGGCGAAGCTACACCCGATCCTCCCTAACTTCCCAATTTGAAATTGATGCCGATCCTCTTCACCCGACCCGAACTATCTCGAGCGAGGGTGGCTCGTTATTCTTTCCCTGTCGATCCGTGACTCGAGTGGAGACAGGGGGCGCGCGTTAAGTGGCGGAATAATTTCTCCCCTCCTCGTGTCGTTGTCACCTCCCCCTTTTCACGAAAATCATAATTAATCTCGATAGACGCGTGAGGAGGGAGAGAGTCCTGATTCGTTGAAAAACTTTTCACAGGGAGGGGGAGGGGGGAGGTGTAAGGTGACCGAAACACCACCGGAACATCGATCTTCCTTCTTCCTAGCAGGGAGTGGTTAGAGATATTCAATTACCACCCGGTTATGAAAAAGGATAGGCAACTTAATGACTGCAGCCAATTTTAATGACCCGCCGGGTGACCGCAACGATAACCGCAACGTAAATGAACGTTTCCTTCGTTCTGCGGCTTCGATGTTCGGTAGTACAATGGGGGGGAGGGTTGGATAGGAGGAGGAAAGACGTTGCTCGTTACGGGGCGAGGGGTAAGCCGCATTACGCAGTAATCAACGGCCACTTCCGGGGTAGCCTGCATGCAGGGTAGGACAGGCAGGATTTTACTCTTGTTGTAATGCGGTAGCATTACGAGATAATGGAGCAACGTCGGATCGTAAATATTTTAAAGGGGAAGGAATTTTATCGGGCGGATTTTTACATTCTTCCTTCCTCGCATTGTTCCCCCATTATATCGGCCCGTTTCCACATCGGTGCTTGAGAAATGGAACCTCTGCCGAGTGCTGATTAATTTAAGGGGGAAAAAAAGAAGAGATTAAAAATCGTAATTTGTTGCTCTTCGTAGCTAGATATTATTGAAAATTATGCTTCTATTATTCCTTATATTTTTATCATCGAGTTATACCATGCAAAAGGTCGAAGTTTAAATTAGAAGATGGAGGTATTTCTTTTAAAATTTTAATCTTTATCTCCAAATTTTATGAATAAAAATCTTGCGCGTAATAGAGATAATTAATTAAAGAAATCTAATTCTTTGCAATGTATTTTTGATCCAGGATAATTTCTATAGGAAATTTTAATCGAAGACCGATATTAAATATTTCTCTGTTCCCTTAAACATTCCACATTAAACCTCACCTATCTTTTTCCCTACCCCGTATTAAATTTCTAAATATAATACATCATAACGAATTTTCTTCCTCAAAGGACGGTTTAACCACGGTTTGCAGCAAAAAATTTTCATCTTCGTTCTTTTCACGGACCGGAGAAAATTACCGCAAAAATTCATGGACAAGGAAGGAAGGAAGGAAGGAAGGAAGGATTTTTAGAGAAGAATACGGTCTCCTTAATTATTTATCGTTATCTTTTTCTTATATCAACGGATCCACAACACGACCGACCAACGGTTAATTAAAAATCCGGTTGGAGCTTATTATTCCGTTCGAAATAAAACACGATTTATCAATTAACGGTCCTGGCAAGTAATCAGCGGTTCGATCGATCCGAAACGTGTTAAAAAAAAAAAAAAAAAAGGACACTTTTACACTTGGAAAGAAGCGTCACACGTAGGCCGTGGTATTGACCGATACCATGATATCGTATTTTCGTATTTTTCGTTTAACCAGCCCCACTTTCCGCTCCATTCTCGCTGATGAAAAATATCATCTCCTCTATCGGGATAAATTATTCGAATACCTGAATCGTCCAAATACCGATCGTTAAGCCTAAGACTAATTCTCGAAGGGGGGGGTTTAACTTTATCACGAAACCGTCGATTAATTAATTTCGAGGAATCACGTTCGAATTCGAAATTTTTATATATCGCATTTTAAAAAAATGGAAATATTATTTATAATATTATATTATATTATATTATATTAATTATTTTATTAATTATATTAATATTATATTAATAATATTATTTATAATATATATTTCGCGTAGCTTGTAACCTGAAGATACAGCGGCATTAACGAATGCAATCTTCTTCTTCGCAATCGAAACGATTCGAGACGTCCTCTTCTGCCACGCATGCGCATTACGCGATGATACGATAAAGAAAAATCTTGGAACCCGGTTGCAGAAAACTGGCGCAATTTATCACCCTGGAGGAATACAAATTGCTCGTTGAGAGTATGAAATAAAACAATATAACCCCCCTCGAATCGAAACTGCCAATCTCTCTGCAAGCACGACACTCTGGCGCTATTCCAAACCATCCCTTACATCCTCCGTTTCTTCGTTCCGGGGATGCAGATTCCAGGCAAGATTGCGCGCGTTCATAAATCTTTTAATTTCTGCCCCGATACGAGAGAGGGAGAGATTAACGTGCTCTCTTCGAAGAAGCTCCTCCCTTCTGCTCCTCTAACATATCGAGTATCGTATCGAGTTCATTTCTGCTTATTCGCCGCACTCCTTATCCTCGCTTGGGAAAAATTCTTCTCGGGCGAAGAGGAACGCGCCTCCTCCTTCTCCTCCTCCTCCTCCCCTATTTAACCGAACGAAATAGGTTCGGTTATCGTCATAAATCTGGCGGAGATTTATCGACGGATGCGCCTCCGGTTTCCCCAGGATCGTTTCGCAAACACAACGGAGGAAGCGGAGAAAGGAAACTTCCACCTCCTGTTGTCACGACAAAGGGGAAATGTGGAACGGCCGCCGGTGGTATTACGGAACCGAGGCGGCGATCGCGCAAAATGATGCAAGCGAGAGCCCCGCCTGGCTCTGTACAGAGCACATGGGTTTAACCTCTCCACTGTGGCGGAGGAACAGTTCGATTTCTGATATATACGAGGCGCATTTAGATACGATTCAAGCTGGATCGGGACCACGTTCCACGGTGAGTCTGTCTCCCTCTCTCTCTCTCTCTCGCGGTGGGCTTGATGTATAATCTCGGTTTTCTTTATCTCCCGGCAACTTCCCCTCCTCGTCCCTCCGACGGATCGCCCGTGTTATTTCTCCCTGTCTACCCAGGCGCTCGACTTCCATTCGCGAACAAAGGCAATGAAATTCCTTCCTTACGTGGACTTTCCGCGCTCCGTTCTCGCGCTGCGCATTCCGATACGGGGTGGTCTCGCGGCGCTCGCTCGGGATATTATTAAAATTGCCCAGAGAGAGATCCCAAGACTCGAGAGAGAATTCTTCAAGTTGAATTTTCTGGATAAGCGCCAGGAAATTGTTATGTATATATATATATATATATTTTTCCTTTCTCAATGAGGCGATACGAATTTTAGGAAGAGAGGGAGAAAATGTTGAAAAATGTTAGAAAGTAATCGCTTCTGATGGAATTTATATTGTTTACGTGTAATTGGATAATTAAGTCTCCATATCCTCGTCGGCAAGATAGGGGAGGCGCTTTCAGGTTATTCGGCATATCCTTAGGGTGTCTTAACGGTTTCCGTTTACCAGGTTTATATGGTCGTGATTCTCGAGAGATTCAATGCTATAAACTAATTTCCCCTCCTAATTTGACTTTTCGATTTCAACAATCGCGTCCATCCTCCATAAAACCGTGTGTATATTCCATCACGAATATATTTCGAAATATGCGTAAATTAATTAGTAAGTAAATTGAATGTAATAAAATTTTATATCGATGTTGTTGTGATTCCCGAATTAATAGAAATTATCATGTATTAAATATCAATTTGCCGTTCAACGAACCTTAAGAAATATTGAAAATTTATTAATAGTTATATAATTATACAATTATTATTATTAAGTCTGTTTAAAAAATATATAAATTTCACGAATAATGATACTTAAAAATATCTTGTTTAATCGTAACATTCATCTTCCCGATTAGATCATCCCCTTAAATGGAGTTGAATTGCAGGGGAATAGGGTTGATCGAAAGGAACAATTGCAAGTAA